GAGCCATTTATCCCTCCGCCCTTCAATTAATCCCACATGTGTTTATAGATCAGATTGGCACAATAAACCTCAACTATCTCAGTGTCTAAATATTTGTATCTTAGATTTTCTCTTTATTTTATAATTAATTTATGTATAATGCTCACCTGTTTATCTAATGGATATCTCAAATTTTGCTTTTTTAAAGTTGATGCATATGAAAATTGTTCTATGTAGCCTTTCGCCATGCTTATTGGAAACTTGTGCCCTGCTTTTCTGGTCTGTTTGTTATTGTATTGAAGCTTTACCTTTGGGGCAGTCAAGTCTATTCCTTGCTCCTTGGTAAATTTTCCATAACCTTTCATCTTAGAATCTGCTTTCTTACTTAGGGAACAAACTGACTGCTGTTGGGTTACTTCATAGGGACTCTATCTAGAGTTTCCAAGACTGAATCTTTATAGGAGCAGACAGCCTCATCTTTCTCCTAAGAAGGAGTTGGTGGGTTTGAACTGCTGACCTTGTGGCTAGCTGCTCAATGACTCATCCATGATGCCACCGGAGCTCCTAATTTGAGACTAGGGAGTCAATAGAAAACCGCAGGGAATGAAAAGCTAGCATCTTTACTGCATCTGCAATTGTATGAGTCACAAAGGTAAACACTGATTTCCTCCCTCACCTCCAAATAAATAACTAGCTAAATTTATTCTTAATGTAGTTCTTAGCGCAACATTCAATAGGTGCTTCGTTTCTGCTGCTGAAAAGCCCCTTTCAGTGGAATTTGAGCCTTTGCTTTCAGTTGTTTCTGAAGCCTAGCTATATGCTCTGATTGCTGGTTTCCTTACAAAAATTTTCTCTTGTTGGGTTAAGCTTGCATATCTTCTTTTAGTGCTAACCAGAAGTTCTGAGTACACAGCTCTTCTTATCTAAAAACGCCTGTTCCATTCTAATTGTCTTTGGCTTCTTGCAGAGGGAGTGCCTTTCTATTCACATTGGCCAAGCTGGCGTCCAGATTGGGGATGCTCTTTGGGAACTCTATTGCCTGGAGCATGGGATACAGCCAGATGGTGCCATTTGTGGCAGGCCGATGGACCAATTGGAAGATTCTAAAATGGAGCATATGAGTGGATGTGAGAGCTTCTTCTGTGAAACAAAAGCTGGGAACTATGTGCCTAGAACCCTCTTCATGGACCTGGAACCAACCGTTGTAGGTAATGTAATGTTAAATTCTAGCACCAAATCAGATCCCAAATCAAAATAGACGAGTATCAATGGTGGGATTCGCAGATTAGAATAATCTATCTGAATCAGATCATTTGGGCCTTTTCCACATTTAGGACCAAGTCTAATGGTCATTGAGGATGATTAACATATTCAAATGACAAACATAACCTCAAATGATGAGACACACGCATCCTAATTTTTACATATGCATCTATCCTAACAGAACACTGAAGCCTTTTCCTGGATTTGAGAGTTACTTGCTAGAGGCTGCTGGCAAAGATTCTGAGTATTTGGCATTACTTGTTTATAAAGAGTAAAATACAGGGCCTGGAGCAGGAACAAGGAGAAGGGAAGGATGAAGGGGATGTGGTATGCAAAAAATTTGGAGTAAGTTTAACAGGATATTGTTTTTTTTTTTTAATTTCTTGAGATGAGCTATGTAATGCACACACACATATTTCTTTAAAAACAAACAAACAAAACCCCCAAATCCCTCCAGATTCCTTATTCCTCAAACCTAAACAGTGGTTTAAAAAAGAGGAGGAAAAAGTAAAATTGGATGGACTTGGAATCTTTAGTGACAAATAGTTTATTTCAAATAAACAAACAAAAAAGAAAGAGTAAAATATTTGAAATAATTCTAAAGAAGCAAGTAGCCAAATAAATCTTCTAAAAGCAGACTTTGTAGAATCTTGCATAAAAATTCTTTAAATGGAAATAGAGAACTACTAGATAAAGAGAAGTCTTATGGATTTAAAAACTAGAGAGAGAAGCTGATTTGGGGTTGATACTCTTTGTTTTTAGCTGCCTTGAGAAAAAGTAGGAATGTTATTGCTTTAAATCACTGAATTTTAGGCTTATTACACAGCAACAATGGCAACCTCATGCCAAAGGAATAAGACACTACCTAGTTCTGCTCATCCTCAGTGATCTTTTGGCGATCAGACCATTGTTATCCTCAGGGCTTAATTAGCTGCCTTTTGGAAGTTAATTATCAAGCCTGTCATCCTAGCTGTCTTATCATGGAAGCTCTGCTAAAATTGGCTCAGCATCATAGCAATAGGTAAGCCTCTGCTGTTAGACAGGTGGTAGAATCAAACCTAGATTTCCCACATAGAAGGCACAATTTCTACCAATGAGCCACCAATATCCAGTTAATTATTGCTGTGTAACAAGCCTAAAATTCAGTGATTTAAAACAATAGCATGCCTCGTTTGTTCACAAATATGGGCAGGGCTCAGAGAGGCCCACTCTTCCTGGTTGCATGTGGTGTTAGCGAGGAGGACTCAAGGAACAGCTAGAAGACTCACTTCCAAAGTGACTCATTCATATGACTGGCAAGTTGGTGCTGTTTGTTGACTGAAGGACTTAGCACGATGGGGCAGAGCCTTATTCCTTCCTGATATGATTCACACTATGGATTACCGGGCAGGATTCCAAGAGCAAACATTCCATGAGAACAAGGCAAGGCAAACATTCCATGAGTACGTGACATGTTTATAACCTAGCTTTACAAGACCAATAGTGTCACGTCAGCTATTCTTATGGGATATAGACACCATATCGTGGTGTGGGGATAACAAGGTGCTAGAAGAACACAAAGGATCCCAGGTGGTGTTGTGGGTTTTGCATTTCAAACCCACCAGCCACCCCAAGGGAGAAAGATGGGGCCTTCTGCTCTAGTAAAGATTTACAGTCACAGAAACCCAAAGGGACAGTTCTAGGCTCCCCTGTAGGATCACTATGAGTTGGGATTGACTCCGTGGAAATGAGTAGAAGAACACATACGATGAAAGATGTTTTTGTGACCATCTTTGTTAAACATTGCCTGTCCCTATTAGATTGTGGCCCATTTCCTTAACAAAGCGAAGGCAGAATCAAGCAACAAATTGATGGAGAATGTAGACTTGATGTCAATATGAATTAAAAGATAAAAAGAGTTTAGTTAGAAGTTTAAAATTAAGAATTATTGTGACCAAGATGCCTAGTAGATACACATTCAGTATTATTTTGTAAGATGTTGTGAAACAACAACATATCACTTAGTATTGATAGCTTTAAGAGCATGTCAGATTAGTATGGAGGTGAAGAGAGGTTGTATTACACAACCTACAATATATTCTGACTTGAGTTATAAAGGCCCTAAGAGAATATGTGACCTTTCATTTGTGAACATTTAGCTGGACTCAGGTGTTCCAGAAACCTAAGTAAGGTAGAATAATCCTTGTGGGATTTGGTAAATAAAGTTGATGTGAGACCCACATCCTACTGTTTGTGGCAGATATTTTAAACTTATGCCAATCCAAAGAAGCTAGGAAAATACGGAGTTATTTAAGGGCTATGGTCAGAGGTTAAGGGAATCAGAAATGAGATAAGTGGGAGAAATTCCCTGATTATCCAGAACACAGCCTAAAGAGTCTTGATCTGTTTAAGACAAAGAAGCACAGTGTTCAAGGATTCAGGGAGAAAATACTCATTTTCTTCAAGAAATACAAAAGCTACATGTGTGTATATGGATTAGGTCCTATTGTGGTGCTTTTTATGTGTATTATATATGAAAAGATTTCAGGAAGTTTATGGAAAAATTACATCATATTTTAATTTCATTTTCCATGCATTTTTAAAGCCCCTCTTATCTCCTCGCCCCAAAATATAAGGCAGGAGTCCTTTCTGTACAGTGGTAAAGAGCTTATCTGCCAACCAGAAGGTTAGTGGCTCAAACTCACCAGCCTGCTCTTTGGGAGAAAGATGTGGCAATCTGCGTCTGCCAAGGTCACAGCCTTGGACAGTCTTTGGGGGAAGTTCTACTCTGTTCTGTAGGGTTCAATGAGTTAGAACCTGTTCAGTGACAATGAGTTTGGTTTTGGTTTTACAACCCCGACCCCCCAAAACACACACACACACACACACACACACAGAGGCAAACACAGAAGGGAGCTTCAAAAAGCTCAGGGGAAAATTTCATTGTCTTTTAATTCCATTTCCCACAGACTTTTTGAAGACCCCTCTTATATTTTGTCCCTGTATTCATGGAGCACACATTCCAGAGGAATGTGGACCAATAAAAACCAAACAAATAGTCCAATGGTAGAGGGAGATAGGATTATTGCTTGATTTTTAAGCTTGCCAGGGAAGAATTATGGAGAAAGTGACTTTTATAGAGCTCTAAAGGAAATAAGATATGGGCCTTACCTTGATGGAAGAGATCAGAAAAGTCTTTTTGGACAAAGTGATATTTTATCTGATTCATGAAGAGTGGGTGGGAAGACTTAGTAATTTGCATATTTTTTGCTTGAACATATAGACGTAGATCATAGGGTCTTCTTGAATAGATATTTAGTCTGCATTTGATAGGAAGTGGATAGTGACTGATGATTTTAGAGTAGCCAACAGTAGTGTTAGAACTAGTTTAGTTCTAAATTTTTGTCTCAGCAATTTAATTTATTCACTAACAAATTAATTTAGTTATAGAACATTTACTTAGCACCTACTATGTATCAGGAGGGGTCTCTGAGTGGCACAAAAGGTTAGGCAGGTGGCTTCTAATGGAAAAACTGGAGGTTTGAGTCCACTCACAAGCTCCTTGGAAGGAAGACGTAAGGATCGACATCTGAAAAATCAGTTAGTAAGATAAGACAAGCATCACCTCACCATGAGTGGGAATAGGCCCCACAACAACTGGTTTGGGGTTTTTGTGCCAGGTGCTGATCTAAAGCAGTAAGGGATGTATTAGAGATATTTACCTGAATGCTGTGACAGGTGGATTTCACCTAGAATTGTGATGCTGAGAATGGAGAAAGGAAACTGATTTGAGCAAATCTCTAAAATAGAGCTGAACAATTAATAACACATCAAATGAATGTTTAAGACAGACATCAGAAGTGCTAGCAATATTTTGCTGGATCACATGGTAAAACTACTACGGAAAGAGGGATGGTGCTTCCTCAGAAAGCTAGAAGTAGAAATACCATACAATCCAGCAATTCCTAAATATTGAAGGGAAATAAGAGCCATGGTTCAAATAGACGTTTGCATACCTATGTTCATCACATCATTCACAAGAGTGATGAGACAGAAACAACTTAAGCATTCAATCAGTGCAAGGATAAATCCACTATGATGCACACACACAGGAGCATGCTACACAATGTTAAGGAAGAGTGATGAATCCATGAAAATATCTCACTACATGGATGAACTCACAGGACATAATGCTGAGTGAGATAAGTCAAACATAAAAAGACAAACATTATATTAGACCACTATTGCAAAAAGCCAACAAAAACTTGTAGGTACAAAAATAAATATTCTGTGACAGTTACCAGGGTTGGGAGAACGTAGGAGCAGACATCACTAACTAGAGAGTAAACACGTGTTAACTTTGGTGAAGATAAAGACAATACATCATGTAGGAAAGTCAGCACATCATAACCACACCAATGGAAGAAACGGAAAGGCATGAAAGAGTTAAAGATAGCAGCGGTAAATATTATGACAGACACAATCCTACAGCAACAGTTATAACAAGTACAAGTGGATGCATAGGTAGTTATGTAAGCTGAATAGGGGTGGGAGTACATAATGAAGGTCCACCCATGCGCATAGTATACAGGGTTAGCAGTGGATATCCTACATATATATTAGTATGTACTGCAAATATACCTATGTATGAGCATACGGAGCACACCCATGAAAACCTCTTAGCTATAACTGAGCACCTCCCGAGACTGAGATTCTTGACTTTAGGGATATGGACTACAATGTTGGCAGACATCTAGGTCAATTGGCACAACATAAAGTCTACAAAGACAATGTTCTATATCCTACTTAGGTGAGGAGTCTTAAAATTATGTGAACAGTCATCTAAGATATAACTCTTGGTCTCTCTTTCCATTCGGAGAAAAGAAGAGTTAAGCAAACTAAAGACTCAAGGAAACAGTTAGCCCAAAGGATTAATGGACCACATGAATCCACAGCCTCCACTAAG